AAAAAAAAATCATTTTTATTGATAATTTCCATGCAAAACAAAGCTAAACAAATGGTATTCGGTATGGTTATTTTTTTTTTCAATTTTTTTTTGGCAATTAGAACAAATTCTTGACCTAATAGTATAAAATACTATCACGTTAATAGACAATTTTCATAAAAAATGAAAGTCAAACGGACACCAAACTTTCAACATTTTCCATAAAAAATTATACTAATCAAACACAATTAATTACAAGTTTTAGTATAACAATTTCTATGCAAATCAATTCCCTGTAAAATATTTTCTTTCCACCAATTTTCCATATTTGCAATCAAACGGACCCTTGAAAAAAGTGACATTTCTTGAAGTCTTGTCTTTATATTTACATTGTGCAACTTTTTCATTTTTTATTTTTTTAACTTAATGTGATTTGAATGAACTTTAAACATCTGTTGGTGGATGTTAAAATTATATTTTTAATAAAATTTGATGAAATTGTTGTTGAAAAGTTATGAATTCCATGAAATGTCTAATTAAAATTAATTGTTAAATTTGTTTTAAACTAAATTTTCAATTTTAATTTTCACCAAACAATGGCTAAATTGAACTTTGAATCTCGCTAAGAAAATCAAGTCCTATAGAGATTCGAGAGAATAAAATTGGACTGGGCCAACCTGAAGCTTTCATTGTACCTTGTAAAGATTAGGGTGGTGATTAGAAGGGAGATGTAAAGCAATTATGCGATGGCCTCCATTGGATATTCCAATACAATGGGAAAAATTCATATTTAAGGTAGTCATAATACACAATTTCAAAATTAAGAACATTATTATAAAGTTTCAAAACTCAGATCTTAATTAAGATTTATTAATTAAATAATTAATTAAGAAATATTTTATTATTTGAATATATTAAGGTCTTAGTATTATATAATTTATGGTCACAATTACATACTAAGCATAATTATATACGTTACAGTCACAAATCACAAATTTTATAAATCGTAACTTAATTTTCGATCACAATTATCAAATTAATTGGTCACATATTATTTCTTGATTACTAATCAAAAATTTTATAAGTCACAATTTTTTTATCGACCACAAATTATCAAATTACACTACAACAAAAATAGTCTTTTACAACGTTCAAAAAACTTGTTGAAGACCTTTTGCAACGTTCGGATGTATGTTACAAAGTTCGATGTTGCTGTAAAGTAGAAGGATACGGCAACGTTTGCTAATAACCTTTTGCAGCGTTTTTTGAACGTTGCTAATAACTTTTTGTAGCTTTTTGAACGTTGTCGTAGGTTTTTTTTTAACAGAAATTTATGCAAATTGATCGGCAAAATTGAAAATGACTACTTATGAATAAATTTTGGAATTGCNAATTTTTTTTTTTTTTTTTTTTTACAGCAATTTACTCAAATTGATTGACAAAATTGAAAATGAATCCTTATGAACAAATTTTGGAATTGCATAAAAATTGATAATTTTATTACAAATTTTTGAATCCATACACTTGAATATTAGAATGTGATACAACACCACCTAAATAAAAAAGAGTTTCAAAATGAAATAAAATTGTAACTCTCCTAGAAGTGAAACATTGCAAGCTTCCCATAATTCAATTATCGATTACGTAGCCTCTCAAACTTCAGAAGCCAATTTGAAGGAGCTCCTGAAGAATCATACCTTGCATCCAATTCATCTTTGACACTCTTTTGAGCTCTTAACCATCTCCCTGAGTCTTGCTACAAAGGAACCAAGGGTAGGAATATCATTATCTCCACGGAAGTTGTCCTTGGCTTTTACTTTATCGAGAAAACTGCTACCATGGGAAGACTGTGAATCATTTTTAGACAATTTCATACCATTATAGGATGCATATCCAAAAGAGAAAATGAGAAAACTCGGTTCTTTTCCAAATCTGACCGCAGCTTTACTTAAGCCCCGTAACCCTATTGCAGTCGCAGTTTGCCCAACTTCGGCCGCACATTGTAAATATTTCATTTAATTGTAAAATAGTTGGAAATTAGAAAAGTGTAGTATGATTCCTCAGTTTTTAAACGTCTACTCTCGTCAGTCGGATTTTTGTTGCTAAGTCTATTATAGGGGGTATTAGTCTTTTAAACATCTTTCAAGATTTCTAGTGTTCACCCCCCTGCACTAGCCATTGTAATTTCTACCTTTCAAGCAATCAACGATCAAGTTATGTTCAATGCATTTCAATT